GTATCCATAGACCCCTCTCTCCTCTGCCAGACTCAGAAAGAACCATGCCATGGATTGCACTCCACTTATTAATTCTTCTTTTTAATGTGTTCTTGTGTCCCAGGTGAAAGTTTGCAGAACAGACTAGTTTCCCATCTGATAGTTTGAACATCGCATATCTCACCTTCCCCACCCTCTTCCCATTTAGCCCTGAGTTTTGGTTCCCTTCATCCAGATTTTCTGCCCCTTCTTGACTTCCCCCCTTTGCTTTTGAGCAAATGTCCTTTTGCTTTCATTTTATGGACTGTTCTCAGGGACACATCTTTGTCAGGCCTGACTGTTTATTGGGGCGGGGCAGGAGGGGGGGGGCGATGAGGCAGAGTCTCTTGTTTGGCTGCAAGGTGATCCCTAGGAATGTTTCCAGTTCCAGGTCAGAAGAATGTCCTAGGGTCATAGTGTCAGGAATTCCTCTCATCTTTGTTGGATTACTAAATCTGGCCTTGTTTGTGAATTTGATTTTTGGCTCTCCGGTTTTTTTCCCTCCTCTCTCCGCGACCCTCTGTTGTGATCCCACTGGGAGCAGGGGGTACTGGTAGCCTAACACCAACTAGTTCTTCTGGTTTCAGTCCCACATAGGCTGCGGTTCATAAAGTCTATTCATCCTTTGGACTACTGGCTTTCTTGAGTCTTTGCTTCAGATGGGAAGGAACAATAGAGGAATCTCAGATGGCTGCTCACAAACATGTGAGACCCCAGGTGCTACTACCAAAGTAGGGTACAAAATATTGTCTTTAGGGCCGAGTCTCTGCTCCTTGCCTCTGAGCCTAGAAGCTTCATCCTGAAAGGTGTTTGGTTATGTCTGAAAGGGTTCCAAGACTGTGGCCCTTGCGTGCTCTATGATGATATCCACAAACCTGTGTCTGCTGGTGGGCGTGCTCCCTGAGGGTCTCCCAGACCTCGTTAGCATATTCATGTACTTCTGTATCCATTCATAAATACTGTGTTAATGCTATTGTTATAAGATTGTCTATGTTAGGGTAGTTACCATAGTTGTCCTTTATTCTTGAATTTCTCTCAATGTCTTCCTTTGTCTTAACCATATTGTGCTGACCTCCCCCATACTGTGTACAAAGGGGCTTCTACAAGTTCTTGGAAAAATATAATTGAAAGATAATGTAATTTTTCCATGAACATTTTAAGGTCCCTTGTATTGTTTTTCCTTTTACCATCATTATGTCTTCCATCTATGAGTAATTTTCTCTCCTTCCCCTTCCCTGCTAACCATCAAAATTCTTTCCATTATAAAGAATTAAGAGAGTTCAAATTAATTAGACTTTTTTATGACAAAACAACCATCTGTTCATATCCTTTGCCCATTTTTGATATAAATATTTATTTCTTTGTGCAAAGAAATTGACAAGAATAATTTAAAGATAGGAATTATAGTCAGTTTAATTGAACATGTAGTTTGACATTTTTATCACTTTAAACCTCTTATTGAAACAATCATAATTTTTTGAGGACCTAATGCCGGGGGCTTAAGAAGAGAGAAAATGTTTTGAGAATGATGAGGGCGATGAATGTACAAATGTGCTTTACCCAATTGATGTGTGTATGGATTGTGATAAGAGTTGTATGAGCCCCTAATAAAATGATTTTTTAAAATAAACAATCATAATTTTTAAATTCATAAAACCCAAGTATAAAATTTAGAGAGTTAAAATTATTTAGACTTTTAAACTCAAACATTATCAGTTCATATTTTGTCCATTTTTAAAATTAGATTGCCTTTTTGTTGTGTGATTCTTTTAAGTTATAAGAAAACAACTAGTTTCTCAGAATAAGTCTTAAGCCTATTAGAATTCACCAGAAAATTGTCTAAATGTTTTGTTGAGAAGGTTAATCTCTTACATGTACGAATTTATGAGCCAAAAGGCTCGCTCTCAGACCATAATGGAAAACCTTTTATTTATAATAATTAACATCTATTATGAAAGAAATTCTTATGTTTCTTACTGAAGAAACAAGCTAGGAATAGACATTATTGATGACAACATACAAAAACAGACCAGCTTCAGATTGAACAAGACTTTATCTACCTCACATTGTTTTTCGTTCTTTGTGCCCCAGACCACACCCATCGGCCAACATACTCCAGCCCTCTCTCCCCCTCCTCATGAGTGTGACGGTGATGGCAGACTCACATTTTTTTTATTTCCTAAAATTTCTTATAAAGTATCGTTGCAAATTAAATTTTCATAACTCACACCACTTTGAAAATATCAAGGCTCATTGGTTCTGATTTCCACATTGTCTTAGTAAGGACTTGATGGAGTTTGGGGGGTGGTTTGTTTTTGCAAAGATCTGGATTTTCCCCGGCTTCTGCCTAGAATGAGGAAAGAAGGGATTTTCTTATCCCAATTATGTCTTTACATGTTTAATATTGACCTCCTTGTTCAAACCGGCTCCTCCTCTTATCTCTGTAGATCCTATTAGTAGCACAGTCACCGGCCTGGTCGTCCAAAGACAATACCTCAGTCAGTCACCTGATCCCCTTTTCTTGCCCCACCCTCCTAATATTACCTTTACAAGTTGTTCATACCATCCTGTTCCTCTCAGTGGACTTGCCACAACATTGGATCGGGCTCTCATTAACTTTTAATTATTCTGTGATGGCAACCTCCTACGTGTTCTTTCTGCCCACAGGATTTTTCCAACCATCCAGTCTACACATTGGTTCTAATTTTATCTTCGTAAAGCACAAATGGTCTCTACGTGGCTCTTAATTTTGAGTCCCCTCCATGAATGACTGAACAACTAACAGAAAACCCTGGCTTTCTATGTTCTTCCTTTGAGCTCACACTTCGAACAGAACCTTTACAGCTGCTTTTAAAACAATAGGTTGGCACAGTGGCTGTTAAGACTTTAACCAAAAAAAGAAAATTAGAGGGAAATTTTACTGCATTAAAGTAAGCCCAAGAGACATGTACTGGTGTTGTCCACCAGATTATAAACTCCGTTCAAATGGTTGACCAATGTGTGTAATCCACTAGACCAGGATTCCTTAGGGAGACAGTCCCTGCCCTTACGGAGGAAGATGACACTGTCTGCCTTCATGAGGATTCACAGCCTCAGAGACTCAAAAGGGTGATTCTACTCTGTGCTATAGAGTCACTGTGGGTCGGAGTTGACTCCATGACAGCGGGTTTGGGGTGGATTTGTTTGGCGGGGGTTGTGGGGGGTGAATCTCTAAATTTTATTTAAAAGCAAATATTTATATTTGTTGTGCTATACTGAAAATATTTTTAATGTATCAGAAAGCTTTGAGACCAAGTAACAAAATACTCAACAGTGGCTTCCATAGTAAGGACAATTATCTGGAATCTGGAATAAATGGCCTCAATTTAGGGGCTCAAAAATGTCCTCTTCCTAACCCGCCTTCAGATGGTGTTAGCAAAGCTCCCTCAAGGTTACACGATACAGTGGCAGTTCCAATTGTTTCATCCCCACAGGACAAGTCCAAAAGCAGAGAGATAGAAGAAGGAGTTTTATTTTACACATAACTTACGTGGGAAAGGAAGTTTTTCCCTGATGGCCCAATAGATTTTTCCCTTAGATCTCCCTGGCCAGAACTACGTCATGTGGTCTTCCGAAACTACAAGGAATGCTGAAAGCGTGACATTTTCAGCCTCTGTAGCAAGAGGCTGACTCTAAGCACAGGAAGAACGGCAAGGACGAGGTAACCAATTCCATAAGAAAGTACAGTACACGAGAGCTCGGACTCTTTCTTCAAGTATGTTTTTCACAATGTCTAGCACAATACTGGGTATACAGTGAGTTCTTGGTCTTATTAGTTGATTGATGGATACAAAAAGCAAGATGCAAATGATCTTTTTAAAGAGTGTTGTAGGTGGTAACACACACACACCCTGACTAGCAGAAATATTCATACAACAATTGTAGTTCTAGATACATAAGCCTGCAAACACCCTCAAACAGACACAAAATAGAAATATTATATTATACATATTGTTGTTAATAGTGGAACACCAGAAACAACCAAGTTCTTTATCAACAAGAGACTGAGTAAGAGGAGGGCTTCAAAAACTTTGTGGAAAACCAGAATTAAAGATAATGGAAAACATCCACCAACCTTTAGAAGCCCCGCCCCACGCGACATGCGGAAGAGTATAAGAAAATGGCATATGCAGGTCGAGGACATCTATTTCTTCTCAAGGGGCCTGGTGCACAGTAGTGAAGAACTCAGCTGTCAGCCACAGGTCAGAGGTGGAGCCCACCAGCCGCTTCATGGTAGAAAGGCGTTTCAGTCTAAGTCTGAAAAGAGTACCACCTGGGAACCCACATGGGACGGACGGTTCTACCCTGTGGCCCCTGTCCTACAGAGACCCTGTGAGTCAACATCAGCTCGATGCAACGGGTTTGGGTTACTTGGATCTCCATATCTGCATGGAAAGATTCAGAAGCATGTTGGATGAGGAAAGAATATAATACTGAATATGTGCTTCATATACTATGCAAGTAAAATTTTTAAACTGCAATTATGTTGAATTAGAAAATGTTATACATCATTTAAAACATTAAATTTTTTCTATTATAAAAAAATAAATGAATGAAAATTGTGTTAGAGCTTCTAACTCCCTTGGAAACTCTGGTTATAGCTTCAGATTTCATACTCAGACCCATAGGACAGAACCACTGTCAGTGAGGATGCCGGGAAGCGGGGCTCTTGTTACGCATGACTTCTGGAACACACCGTTTGGTCATTGCGCCAGCCCTCTTCACCTACCTCCCGATTGGCACAGGTTGTTCAGCAGCCCAGAAGACATGCTTTGAGTCACACTGGTTTTATGTGTTGTTTTCATGTTCCCTCCCCGCTTGTTGAGGAGAATGAAACATCCCAGAGGTGGAGCTCATAAACACCTTTAAAAGCCGGCGTCTCTCTGCACTGCCCTGGTCATTCAGTTCCAGCATCCTGCTGTGCAAAGAGGCAATTAGCCAAAATGTTACCTGGAGGTTTGTCTGAAGCTAAACCTGCCACTCCAGAAGTCCAGGAGATGGTTAATGAGGTGAGTTGATGCGTCCCATGCAAGGGATTTATTCCAAACCTTGGTTCTTGCTTGGACTCGTGGTCAGCGTGTGAGTGAACATAAATGCTGGAACTTCGGGGAATGCGGGGCTTAGTCCAGGCTTCCTGACAATGGAACATGGAACCCTGAGCTTCTCAGGTGACACCTCTGGGAACCCCGACCGTGCCAGAGAGCAAGCTCCCTCTTTGCTCCTCCAGGCTTTATGAGGCATGATTCTAGGATTACTAGTTCCGTTTCTGATGATTTTTTCCAATCTAACCAAGTGATGCCACCATGTAATTAAAGTCTAAGGTTGGTAACAAGTTGATGAATTATGTTTCCAATGCACTGAGGGGAGATTTCTTTCAATGGTTCGAAGAACAATTTTCTACCAGCTTGCCTGACTAGACAATGTTGTCACCCTTCAGATGACAACACTACCAGAGAAGTGGCACGGTCCATGGTGGTTCGACAAGTGACAGGCAGCCCAGTTGATTCTGATAAAAAGAGAGAGCACAGTGCTTTCACAGAGTGGTGCCGTTCTCTGATTGGTTATCTACAAATCATCGTCCGACAAAACGTCATCGTCTGGTGCAATCTGAAAGGAAAATTGAGATAAATGGCTCTGGGGTTCGTAATTTGTTCGTGTATTCTTCCTTCTGGGTTTGGTCGGTTTTGACTGGGGCCGGGGGCACGTTACGGTTGTTGTTAGGATGTGTTTGTTTTGTTTTCACTTTCTAAGACATTATTCCCTGGCGGTCTGGCAACAAGGTCTGCTTCTTGTATCAATGGAAGGGATGCGGGGCTCTTCACTGAAGGGCTGTGGCACGCTCGCTCCGTAAGGAGCCGGACACCACTCTTTCTTTGGGACTAAGTCTTTCCATTTCCAGGGTCCTTTACAAAAGTGTAAAGAAAATCTTGAAGTCTATTTTTCTTGAAGATGTTCATATTAAGTCAATAATTTTTTTAAATAATTTTTGCTTAAAAAATAATAATAATAATAATTGTTGCTTAAAAAAATAAAATAATAATTCTTGCTGAGCCAATTCCAACTCATAGCAAAGAGTGGAATTTCCCGATAGGGTTTCCTAGGCTATAATTTTTCTGGCAGCAGACTGCCACATTTATCTCTTGTGGAGTGGCTGGTGGTTTCGAACCATTGACTTTTCGTTAGCTGCTATAAAGTTTAACCACTGCCTGAGCTGTCAGAGCTCCTTAACATACCAGGACCCCCTAGGTAAGGCCAACGGTTGAAGACTTGGCTGCTAGCCAAAAGGTTGGAGCCTGGAGTCCATCCAGAGGTAACTTGATACAAAAGGCCTAACTACCGACTTCTGAAAAAATATACCCTGCGCACAACAAAACAAAATGCTACCCTGCCCGGTGCCATCCTCACAACCACTGCTGTGTTGGAGTTCACTGTTGCAGCCACTGTATCAAGCCATCTCATTGAGGATTTTTTTTCCCCACTGACCGCTGCTATACCAGCAAGACGTCTTTTTTCAGGGACTTGTGCCTCCTGGTAACATATCCGAAGTCTGTAAGGTGGAGTCTGACCATTGTTGCTTCGAAAGAACATTCTGGCTTTACTTCTTCCAAAGCAGATTTGTCCACTCTCCTGGACGTCCACAGTATAGTCACCTTTATTCGTGAACAACGTAATTCAAAGGCATCGGTTCTTCAGTCTGCCTTACTCGTGGTTCAGCATTTTCGTATGTATGAAGTGATTGAAAAGACCGCGCATCAGACTTCCTTTCATCCTCAAAGCAACATTTTGGCTTTTGAACACTTTAAAGAGATCTTTTGTAGCATAATGGCCCAAGGCAGTAAATACAGCATTTGATGTCCTGGCCGCTGCTTCTATGGATGTTGACTCGCATCCAAGTAAAATGAAATCCTTGACAATTCAGCCTTCTCCCAACTTATCCTAATGTTCGCTGGTCCATCTGTGGGGAATTTTGTTTTCTTCACAGGCGGGGCTCATTTGAAACGACCAGCCCCTTCTCAGGAGAAAGAAAAGGCTTTCTCCTTCCATAAAGAGTTTGGTCTCAGAAGCTCACAAGTCAGAACTGACTTACTGGCCGTGAGTTTGGTTTCTTGGCTACACTGAGTTCTAACCACACTGAAGACTGTAGTCTTTTCTTTATGGCAGTAAGTGCTTCAAATCCTCTTGGCTTCCAACAAGCAAGGCTGTGTCACCTGCACATTGAAAGTTGCTCATCTTCATACAGTCTAGCTTCTCTAATTATTGACACAGATAGAGTTTGAATAGGTTTGGTGAGAGGATACCACCCTGGTGCACACCTTTCCTGATTTTAAACCATACAGGATTCCTTTGTTCTGTTCAAATGACCACCTCTTAGACTATGTATTGTCTGCATGAGCACAATTAAGTATTCCAGAATACTCTTCCACATAACTCTTGTTATGTGAGCCATAACTTGTTATGGTCCACATAGTCAATTGCCTTTTACATAATCCATAAAGTATGGTAAACATCTTTCTAGTATTTTCTACTTGCAACCAAGATCCAGCTGATATTAGTAATGATATCCCTCATTCCACATACACTTCTGAATCGACCTTGATTTTCTGGCAGCTCCCTGTTGATGTAACTCTGCAACCATTTTTAAATTATCTTCAGCAGAATTGTGTGTGTGTGTTGTATTACTGATATTGTTGGATAATTTCTGCATTCTTTTGGATCATCTTCTTTGAGATAGGCACAAATATTAATCTCTTGCAGTGGGTTGGCTGGGTGGTTATCTTTCAAATTTCTTGATGTCAATAAGGGAGCTTTTGCAGGGCTATATATGTTTGTTAAATTTTTCAATATATAATCGAGGATGGGAAGTTGGGGGAGGGAGGAAAGAAAAGAGGAGCTGATACCAAGGGCTCAAATAGAAAGAAAATGTTTTGAAAATGATGGTGGCAACATATGTACAAGTGTGCTTGATACAATTGATTTATGGATTGTTATAAGATCTGTAAGAGCCCCCAATAAAATGATTCATAAAAGAATGTTATATGGGAAATTTTTTTTCAATTGGTAGTCCATCAATTCCTAGAGCCTTTTTTTTTAACTGATGCTTTCAGTGAAGCTTCTTCCTTCAATATTATCAGTTCTTGATCATTTACTACTTCCTGAAATGGTTGAACGTCAATAATTATTTTTGGTACAGTGACTCCGTGTGCTCCTTCCATCTTCTTTTGATGCTTCCTGCTTCATTAAATATTGTACCTCAGTTGTTGGTGCCATCTAGTTGGTACCAACTCACAGCGAACCTACGTGCAACCAAACAAAGCACTACGGGTCCTGCATCATCCCCACCACTGATGTTATGTTTGAGCCCCTTGTTACAGTCACAGTTTCAATTTTCTTTCATTGACCCTCGACTTTACCAAGCATAATGCCCTTTTCCATGGACTGGCATCTCCTGATAATATGTCTGAAGTATTGAGATGAATAGAATCCTTCAATATTGTAACTCAAGGCTTCAGCTTCTTATTTAATTATTTTAGTTTGAAAAACTGCTGAATGTGTTCTTTCCTTTTGGTATTCCAACTCCAGGTCTTTGCACATTGCATTATAATATTTTACTTTGTCTTAGGGCGTGGAAAATAAAGAACACTGAGACAAAAACAACAGGCATTGCCATCAAGTCGATTCTGACTCATAGCAACCCTACAAAGGGTTTCTGAAACTGTCCATCTTAATGGGGACAGATAGCCTCACCTTTCTCTTGCAGAGCTGCTGGTGGGTTTGAACAGTTGATCTTACTGTTAGAAACCCAACATTAACCCTCTGTGCCACCGGGGCAAAAAATTGTTGATGGTTTTTTTAAAACCTTATAATCATGGTTAACAAAAACAATTGTTTCGAACAAGAAGCATCCGGAAATTCTTGAATTGTCAATATTACCCATCTGTGAGCAATGCACTAAATCATAAAAGTAATTTAAGTTATTGCTTACTGTTTACCTCAGGCTCCAGCAGAGAAGTAGAATGAGAGATCAAATTAACAGTAGCCACTAGAGAAGCCTCAAAAGAAAGCCAAAAAACAGCTATTGAAGACCCTTTGAATTACAGTTCCATTTGATCTTCATAATTCCTGAAGCAGACAAGGAAAGTGTTATGCCTATTTTTATATGATGAAATCAAGATTTAGAAGGTTAACAGTCACCTAATTATGCTACTGACCTACCTCCAAATTTTTGCACTTTCTATCATGCCAAGAACATGGGCGGCGGAGCAGACACCGGAGAGTGTGTGATAAACCTGCGTCCTCTGTCCAATCAGCCCACCTCAGGTTTAAATCCACAGGAAAACTTAGTCTCAGTCACTTCACAGCGGTACATTTCTCCAGCATCTCTTAGGTGACCATCCTAGATGTTTTGGAAGGTGGATGCAGACTGTAAGCTAATGGTCCCTGGCCTCAAGGGGTTTACAATCTAGTTGGTGAAGTCAAGGTTTCTAGGGCATAATATAAAAGAATACACAATTAAGTACTTTGCCATAATTATAGTTTTTGGACCAGGAGGGAAATGAGAAATTGTTTTGTCAAACATCCTAAGTTGGGGATAAATAATTACAGTGTGGTAGGTCAGCTTCTGGCGGGCTGAACTCTCAATTATCACTTACCTCCTCTCTCTCAGCTGAGATAGTCCCTGCCTTAGGGCACTATTCCCAAGTAAGGGCTGGAAGAAAGAGGAATTGTGAGTAAACTCTTTACAGTGTAGGAAGTACTTTCACATCAGTTATGTAATTTCTTCTCCCACAAACAACCCTGAGAGGCAGGGATTATTATATTCACTTTAGAAGTAAGGAAATGAATGAATGATTTCATCAAGATTATAGAAGTAGTTGGGCTCCCATTCAAGACCAGGCAGATGTTGGTAATCACAGATCTTGTAGGATTTACGGGGGGATACTATATAGGTCATTGACCCAGTAATTTTATTCCTTTGATTTTTTTTTTTTTTAAACTTCGAACTCATGGC